TGTTTTCTCATTAAAAGAGCGTAAAATTAACCTTTTTTTTATTTTTTTACGATTTAAAGCCCAATCTATGTTAAAATAAACTGTATAGTGAGTTTTTAGCCAAATTCCGTAAAGGTTGTTTAAGATTTTACTTTTGTTTGAGAAATATGAAGAAAAAAATTGATCCGGACCGGATTAGAACCTCCTACCTTCGAGTTGTTATTAACTTGTCTCATTTTTTTATGTGGAAAAACTTTTAATTACAAAAATATAGTGATTAATGATTGAAGAAATGAAACATAAGCTAAAGTGTGACCCTTCGTTCCACTGAAATTTACCGATTAGGTTAATTTACGAATTTGCAATACAAGAAAAATGGCTAAAAATTAAACCCAAAATATATTTTTTAAACAATGCCCAAAAACATTATTATTTAATAATGCAAAGAGAAATTCGAAAATTTGATTTTAGTTTAATTTTTATTATTTTTTAAATTAAAAAAGAGTAAAACTCGGTTATTTTTAATTCTAAATACTTTTTGTTTTCCTAATTAAAGAACACAAAATAAGCATTTTTTGCATTTTTTTTACGATTTAAAGCTCAATCTACGGTTCAAAAAATTATATAGTGTGTTTTTGCCAAAATTCCGTAGAAGTTGTTAGATTTTACTTTTGTCTGAAAGACGAAGAAAAAAATTGATCCAGATAGGGGATTAAACCTCCAACTTTCGAGTTGTTATTAACTATTTCATTTTTTGTGTCAAAAAACTTTAAATGCTGACTAATAATTGAAGAAATGAAACAGCCATTAAGTTAAATTGATTTAATTTTGAAAAAATGTTTTGGGTCATTTGCTCAATTTTTTGGACTGTTAAACAGCAAAATAAAGCTAAGGTGTAAGCCCTCGTACCACACTGAAATTAATTGATTACTTTAATAGCGTTAAAATTTAAAACTTGTTGTTTAGTTTTGGGCTTTTAGACAATTTTTTAAAATTCAACATTAAAGTAAAGTTATAATATTGCGACTCATCGTTTTAGACTGAAATTTACCAATAAGGGCAAGGGTGTTTTGACCAAGTTTTAAGCCCTTATTGATTAATGATTATTTTTTGGAAAAATTTAACTCTAAAATTTTGTTACTTTGTAATACTAAAAAAATGTCTGAAAAGTAAAAGTGAAGTATATTTTTAAAAAAACAATGACTAAAAGATTTTTTCATTTTAAGAAAATAAAAATGCAGAAATCAATAAATAAATTGGATTTTCTTTACAATTTCCGTATTTGTTATTTTTTAAATTAAAAAAGAGTAATCCACAATTTTCTTTAATTATGAATATTTATTTTTCATTTAAAAGAGCGTAAAATGTGCAAATTATGTTGTTTACTTTTTCGTTTTTACTGTTTAAAAGTGCAAACTGTAGTTAAAAAAATTATGTATAGTGTGTGTTTAAGATTTTACTTTTATTTGGCAAATGTGAAGAAGAAAAAAATTGATCCGGATCGAGGATCGAACCTCCAACCTTCGAGTTGCTGATGATCAATTTTTTTTTTTTGATGTTGTGACTAATATCTGAAGAAATGAAAGAGCCATTAAGTTTAGAACCGATTTATTAGTATTTTTATTAGTTTTTTAAAAAAATTACATAAGCATAAATAATCGTTACATGTGCACACGCATCGGAAACAATAATTAGTCTCAAATCCAAGCACAAATGGAATTGATTTGTTTTATTTACACAACTATGCATTAAAACAGAATTGATTTAATTTCTGAAAAAAATTCTAGTAAGTGCTTCAATATCGGCATTATTAGGCTGGTCCGAAAGTCCTTCGCGTTTCCCTTGTGCGTTACCTAATGAATGCCGATGCTGAAATAAGGCATGATGAAAAAAATGCAACGAATTACGCCACTCTAATTAAGTACTTATAAATCTGAATGTCCCTAGAACTACCTAAACTATATATGAAGTACAGATATAACATTTAGTATTTACTATTTTTTAATTCTTATTATTTTTAATAACAGTTTTAATTTTTTTGTATGTTTTCAACGTCGTTCTGCAACAGAACAATGCTCAACACTTAGAAAAAAAAAACGTGAACGAGAAACTTATGTACAAAACTCGAATTTAGCTGAAAAAAAGACTGAAACACATTCGCTCCTATCACAAACATGAAAACAGTGTCGAATTCACACCTTTTCCATTAAATTTCAACAATTATTGTACACTAGTGTGAAAAACCTATGACTTTTGTGAAATGCAGTGGCGCTACTCTCTGGATCCGATGACCAAAATTCCGTCGTCAAACTACTAGCAAAGAGGGTCAAAAATTCAAATTGCGCTGCTCTAGACAATACGATTTGAACTAATTTTTATTTTTTTTTTTTGGGTTTTTTAACTAAAGTCTAACTAGACCGTCACTGGTGATGATGACTCGACTCTTTCCGATTACTATATGGCAGTTGGTAGAGCCCCACTCGCTTCGCTTAGTCGACCATCAGCTCGAAATGGACCGAACCTCTTCTGTCCACGCGGTCGTGGTGGATGTTGCGCGCCCATGCTTTGCATTCGATATTGATCAGCACACCACCTGAAAAAAATATTCTTTTTTCAAGAAATTAACGCAAAAATCGCAAAAGTTTGCTTCAAATGAACCATTTTCGCTTGTTTCATTCACTTGCAGATTATTTTTATTGAATTAATGCAAAAAATATAATTTGTTTAAATGTTTTGTTAGCTTTAGCCCATTTTTCAGTAGAAATCTTGCGTTCTCTGAAATGTCTAAAATATATCTTGAAAATGATAGAGATTTGTTTGTTTCGGTAATTTTGCTTTAGTTTTTTTTTTTAATTTTGTTGAAACAACGCCTGAAATATGTTTCTTTTTAAATTCTCTCCGATCGATCGTTTTTGAAGTAATACATGTATTACCTAATAATTAATTCAGGGTCTTAAAAAAAGGAAAATATTTCAGGAGGTAATAAACAAAAAGACTTAATAAACAGGGGTCCGCAAAGTAACGGTTTCGGATTGAAAAAAAAATTATTTAAAATACAAAAAAAATCAAAACGGGAAAATGAAATAAAAAACTAAGGATATAGAAAAAACTAAAGAAAATGAAGATCATGATGAAGGAAAAAAATTTAATTGACAGTTTCTTAAATTTTATTCTTTTTTGGCCATACGTCTCACATATTGCTTACCGAATGTTGTAAAGCTTTTATGCTTTTTTTCTTTTTTTTTTTAATATACTGAAAATATTATGTGTATTTTTTGTATTTTATTCACTTATTACAATGTAAACCAAAAAAAAGTCTAGCTTTTGTGTAATTTTGACACCAAAATAACCTGATTTGAGCCTACTTGAAATCTCTTGTTTAGTATTTTACGTACTTCTCGACCTATGGTTAGTACCATTATTAGTATTATTATTTAAAAAAAAGCTTGCTTTTAATGAACCATTTTCGCTTGTTTCATTCACTTGCAGCTTGCAGATTATTTTTATTGAATTAATGCAAAAAAATATACTTTGTTTGGATGTTTTGTTAGCTTTAGCTCATTTTTCAGTAGAAATCTTGCGTCTTCTGAAATTTCTAAAATATTTCTTGAAAATGATAGAGATTTATTTGTTTCGGTAATTTTGCTTTATATTTTTTTAAATTTTGTTGAAAGTATGCGCTATGGATTTTTTAGGGTTCCAAAAATAGCGATATTACGGATTCATTTAAAATCGAACTAAAAATGAGGTTTTTGCATCCAGGGGGGTTTAAAACACGCAGAAAACTGCATGAAACGTTATTGGGTCGAGATGAAACACTATTTTTTAAAATTTTTGGATGTTGTGAGTAAAGATAATAATCCATAAAATGGTCGATCAAATTTTTGTTTTTTTGATCGATAGTTTTTGAAGTAATACATGTATTAATAATTAATTCAGGGTCTTAAAAAAAGTAAAATATTTCAGGAGGTAATAAACAAAAAGTCTTAATAAACAGGGGTCCGCAAAGTAACGGTTTCGGATTGAAAAAAAAAATAAACAATTTAAAGTACAAAAAAAATCAAAACGAGAAAATGAAATAAAAAACTAAGGATATAGAATAAAACTAAAGAAAATGAAGATGATGAAGGAAAAAATATGAATTGGATGTTTTGTTAGCTTTAGCTAATTTTTCACTAGAAATCTTGCGTCTTCCGAAATTTCTAAAATATTTCTTGAAAATGATAGAGATTTGTTTGTTTCGCTAATTTTGCATGCATTTTTTAAATTTTGTTGAAAGTATGCGCTATGGGTTTTTTAGGCTTCCAAAAATAGCTTTATTACGGACTCATTTAAAATCGGACCATAAATGAGGTTTTTGCATCCACGGGGGTTTAAAATAAGCAGAAAACTGCATAAAGCGTTATTGGGTCGAGATGAAAAATTAATTATATATTCGAATTTTTGGAGGTTGTGAGAAAAAATAATAATCCATAAAATGGTCGATCAAATTTGTGTTGCAACAACGCCTGAAATATGTTTCTTTTTAAATTCTCTCCGATCAATAGTTTTTGAAGTAATACATGTATTAATAATAAATTCAGGATCTTAAGAAAAAGTAAAATATTTCAGGAGGTAATAAACAAAAAGTCTTAATAAACAGGGATCCGCAAAGTAATGGTTTCCGATTGAAAAAAAATAAACAATTTAAAGTACAAAAAAAATCAAAACGAGAAAATGCAATAAAAACTAAGGTTATAGAAAAAAACTAAAGAAAATGAAGATGATGATGAAGGAAAAAAAATAATTGACAGTTTCTTAAATTTTATTCCTTTTTGGACATACGTCTCACATATTACTTACAGAATGTTGTAAAGCTCTTATGCTTTTTTTCTTTTTTTTAATATTCTTTCAATTTTTTAAAATTTTTAGAAATTTGGTCTGATATGTAATGTGTATTTTTTGTATTTTATTCTCTTATTACAATGTAAACCAAAAAAAAAAAAAAAATAGTAGCTTTTGTGACATTATTTTGTGACACCAAAATAACCCGATTTGACTCTACTTGAAATCTCTGGTTTAGTATTTTACGTACTTTTCGACCTATGATTAGTACCATTATTAGTATTATTATTAAAAAAAAAGAAAAATTCGTGGTTTATTTAATTTTCACACCAACAAGAACGGATTTACGTCCACTTGAAATGTTTTAGTTATTCGTATTTTGGACTATTGTAGTTACACTCGTGATTATTATTAAGGATTAATATTTATAAATAAAAAAAGCGTGGTTTTATTTGTTTTATCACCGACATGACCAATTTTGAGTCCACTTGAAGTGTTTTGGATTAAATTAAAACTTGAAAACATAATCTGAAGAAAATGAGAAGAATTATTTTAATAAAAATGAGAAAAAAAGAAGTGAAATTTGACATGGCATTATGAAAAAAGAAACTTATTATTTATCTAAGGAAAAAAGAAACAGTGGTTAAAACAAAACTTGAAATTTAACAATCGGGAAAAGATGTAACAAAAAATTTAGAGAATAAAAAATTAAATTTGGTAATAATATTGTCTAATAAAAAAAATTCTCATTGTTTTTGTATTTTGGGCCCCACATAAGCCATCGTAACTCAAAACCAATTTTTATGACTTAGTATAGTTTTTGTTGGAAGAGTCGATATATTGAAAACGGTTTGTATTTTATATCAAACCCGTGTAAAATGTTCCGGGGAGTCGATTGACGACGTGAAAACCACAAAATTCTTAATAGTTTAGAAGTTATTGTCGAAATAATATTTTTGATATTTTTGTCTTCACCAGCGATTTTCTCAATAACTGTGCCGCAGGATAATGATCTTTTTTTAAAATTAAAAATGCTATCCAATGGTACCAAACAGAAAACAGTTATCGATAATAATATCCAGGTTATCAGCTGTACAAAAAATTGCTGGAAATTTTGACAAAAATCGAAAAAATTAAAAACTTCAAAATTGAACTAAATACACTGCAATAAGTTTAAAAGAAACGCGAAAAAATATTTTTTTAAAATAAGTTTTTGTGTGAAAATAGAGCAGAGATACTGGTCGGGGTCGTGTCGGCGCAGTGATTTGTAACAAAATTCACTATATCGAATAAATAACTTACGTGCTGGTTTTTCGAAATGCACCGCCACCAAGGGACTCACATAGCCCTTAACGTTAGTAAAGGGAAAATATTTAGCTTTGAACCCTCTCTGGGGATGGTAGTAGATGGGGCCGATATTCTCAACATCGGCTGGATTTTCTCCAGCACAATCGACCCAAACAACATGGTGCTAAAAAAAAATTTACTCTCACCTCAATTCGGGAATTTCCATACCTTTCCTTGCTGCTCCTCCTTGACGATGTGGTCTCTCAAGTGCTTGGGCATGTCACGCGGGGCAGTTGCATTAGTATAGTAGTCGGGAACCCACCCAAAAATCTAGAAATTATCAATGAAAAAAAAATTTTTGAGAAAAAAACCTCACTTTGTTGAGTTTAAGGAAGATACAAGGGCCACCCCCTTCCTTATTCCCGAACCCGTACCCCCAGTCTTTAGTACAGGGCGCAATATCATTGCTGATTTTGAAATCGCAGAATTTCCCCTCATCAGGCTTGTCTCTATTATCGCAGTTTTGCACATTTTCGGAAATGGTTTGTTTCTGATAAGCTGCAAACACAATTAAAAAAAAAACAAAACAAAAAATTATTCATTATTACGCTCCAAAAACTTGTCCAATTCTTCGACCCAGTATTGCACGTTTTTGGGCTCGCCAGTCTTGTACCAAATCAAAGTACTCTCAACGTTCGAGTCTGGGGGCATGGGGCGGAATCCCAAGCCAGGGTTGCTCCCAATCAGGGATTTATCTCCTTGCCATTTGGGGGTGGTGTCGTCCAACGTCTGATAAAACACCGCCAACATGGCAGCAAAGAAACCGACCAGAACGGCATAGAAGATGAGGTAAAACAGGAGGATCTTTCCTGAAACGAACGTGGATTATTCATTTTGGGGGTATCGATCGCGTGACCCACTTTTTCGGGGCAAGTCGGGATTCGTATGATAATGAAATTCAATCAGAATTCATCGTTTAGCAAGTTGAAAAAGAATCAACATAAAAATTTACTCAAAAAATACAATTTTTATTTAATTTAGTTAAATTTAATTTACAAAGGAAGCCATTATACTATACATCGAGTTGAACAAGTTCATTAGTGACCTTTAAATAGTCAAATTAAAAAAATGTATATTGATAGATATTGATCTAGTGCATCACCTAAAATTATTTTCAACTATACAGCGTGTCTCATAAATAAGTTACAATACAAACTTGTGATTTTTAAATGAAACACCGTATGTTTCTTGGCATTTTTAAATGTTGCCTTTTAAAACAATGTTTTTACGCTAAACTTTTATTAGTCAATTTGCTTACTTTTAGAAATAAGACGTTTTTTTGACAAAAACATGCACTTTTTAAAAATTTATTACACAATTTGCATTTGTAAAGATTAATAAATTAATAAGTTTGTTAAAAGTTAAATAACTTAAAAAAATTAAATGGAACACCCTATTTTTTATGTTTGCATCTAATAGATTGATAAATTGTCTATCTAAAAAATATCTTTTAATGTCTAGAATTGATAAATGAAAAGATATTTAACATTCAATATAATTTTAATAAAGAATAATAGATTCAGTTTAACACAAATGTGATTATTAAGTGATATTTCTTCCATCTCTTGTGCAACTGTGCACTTTTTGGATACTGAAACAATAGTAATTATTTTTTTTTAATGTTTTAACGTTAAATATCTTTTTAGTTATTGATTATAAACACCTAAAAGTAAATAATTTTAGAAAGACAATTTAATAATCTTTTAATGCAAAAACAATAAATAGGCTGTTCCATTTACATTTTTTAAGTTATTAAACTTTTAACAAACGCCTTCATATTTTTTTATCTTTGCAAATTCAACACACTAAAAAATGTTACAACCTTGTAGCTTGTATCTTCTTCTTTGCAGTAGTAAAAAAATATTTCTAGATCTTAGTTTTTCTGTATTAAATTTTTAAAAAGTGTATGTTTTCGTCAAAAACCCGTCTTATTTTAAAAACTAAGCAAAATCAACCAATAAAAGTTTAGCTTAAAAACATTGTCATAAAAATCTACATCCAAAAACGCTAAGAAATATATGGTGTTTCATTAAAAAAAAAACACAAGGTTGTATTGCAATTTATTTTTGAGACACGTTGTATAGTTAAAAATAATTTTAGGCGATAGACTAGATTAATAGCTATCAATGTCCTATATCATATTTTTTAATTTTTTGAAAAAATAAAGAAATGTAATATAGGTATTATATTTTGTAAGAAGAATTTAAAAACCGATGTTGCAAAATAACAATAGTAGTCAATAAAAATTGACTACTATACTACTATTTTGTTTAAACTTCTATTTCATTGGGTTAAATGTTATTTACAAAAAAGGCCACCCAATCGTTAGATGGGAATTCAGATACGAAAATAATCTTCTAGGTGTTTTAGAAAGATTTTTTCTCATAAAATAAAAATGTAATTATGGAAATTATGAAACTTTAAAATCCGAAAAACACTTATAAAAATAACAAAATCAAAAATATTGATGTTTTATTAGTTTTTATGTGGTTTTAAGGCCAATCGACCAAAAAACAATGCCTTATGAAGAATTAAAAAAAACGAAAAAATAATAATTTTTTCTTTATTTTCTATAAATATATAGTCTTTTAACTATTACATTCATCTAAACAGTCTCTGTATTAACAAGTATTTTATATAATTAAAAAATTTCTCTCTCATACCTTCTCAAAAAAAAAAGGTTTTACGTTTCAATCTTAAAAATCTACCTTAATATTTTAACAAAAAATAATGATAATTCACACTACCAGAAGTAATAAAAAGAAAAAACTCTAGTTCCAACGACAACCAATTATTATCATTTTTTATTCAATTCAATGTAAGAGCTAATTTTTTAATGATTTTTGGATCATAATTATTATGTGTTGTAATTTGATTATGGCTGGATTTCGTCTTATTATCGTCTCGGACGGCTGTATATTATTCCAAAAGATGATCATGAATAAATAATCTAAAAAAAATCTAAAAAAAAAGAAATTTACTCACCATATGCAAATTCTTTTTTACAATGAAAACGTATTTTTTTTAATAAAATTCGTCAAAGTCCCTAAACTTTACCTTTGTAAATATTTTAGAAGCATTTTTTCGTGTAAAAATTTAATAAAGAAGTTATGAAAATTTACTTTAAGGAACATTTTAAAAAAGAGAAAAACAAGAGAAAAAGAGAAAAAAAAAGAATATTTTTTTATTTTCTATAAATCTAGTCTGTAACTTTTAAAATTATCTAAACTACCAAATATTTTGTATAATCAAAAAAAAAACATCCATTTTTTACCAAAGCCGGATTTTGTTCCACTATTTTTGGGACAGAAACTGTATTAAAAAAAAAGCAGAATGCATATTTTTTCAGTGAAGCAGAATCACTCAAAAACAATAGAACAATAAGAATAAAATAGAAATATAAGAACAGAAATTATAAAATTCCTGTTCAGAGATGACATATTGGCATACGAAGTGATTATTACAACAACCTAATTGTTATTAAAAAATCAGTCTTTGAAGATATTCCACTCACCTTGTATACATTTTTAGAGAGAAAAATCTTAGTTGACAACCTAACTACTCCAACAAATAATGAATTCTTAATAGGACTGGAATTTTTTTAATTCCACAAGCAATCAATCAAATAAATTAATATAAACGACCTTGTTTCTAATTTAGATATTCAACTGACTTTTCGTACCGCAATATCTTCAACTAAGGAAAGAGGAAACTTGATAATTTTAAACGTAAACCACAAATAATCTTGATTTAACAAACGTGTTGACAAGAAATTTCATCGCTAATTAATAAAAAACGGAATTTTAATGATGAGTAAGTGAACGACGGGCGTCGTCCTTGTCTGTGCCAAGCGTCGATTTGACGCCATGACACATAAAAGGTCCTTATCCAAAAAAAAGCACCAAATTTTACCAACAAGAGAATAATTCGAGAACAATAAAACAAACTCTCTTAGTTATTATTTTGACCAATTCTTCTGTGAAGAAAAAAAAACTGATTGAGTTAACTATTTTAATTACAATTAAGTTTTTTATTGATTTTGATTTGGAATGAAATTATCTAATAAGTAATTAATGTGAATCTTTTGGTGAGTGGATTTTTGTTGAAGGCTACCCCTGATCGATTTGGGCAAATGCCAAGGGTGGCTTGCGTAAGACTCACCCCAGGAGGATCCCGTTCTGCCTAGAAACTGGCTGGTTTCGGGATTCCACAGGAAGATCCTGAAGCCCTCCCATTTGCCTAGTTTGGGGGGCCGTGTGTAATATTGGTCGGCTTTTTTGTCTGCCATAACTCTGCAATGACACCAACACTACTTGCACCCTCTTCGACGACGAAGGCTGAACCGCGACGCTCCCCGGGGCCGTACGACTGCGCACGCCGCCGTCGGGGACGGCTTCGATCGGCCACTTTGCCGCCATCTATGCGAAATAAAACACAACTCTTCTGAAAGAGTAAAATCTTTATTGAGTAACAACAAAGTGAAACCATATTTACATGTCATTTAATTAATATCAATTAAAACGAACACAATTCAAATACAAATAGATGCCACTTTACACTTTGGCAAGTCCACCAGTGCTGCCAACTAATACCACATTGGTAAAACATAAATAAAATAAAATTTTGGAGTGTTAATCAATCAGAAGCTCGAAGTGAACCGAACCCATCCTGTCGGCTCGGTTGTAACGGATATTCTTCGCCCAAGCTCGACACTCAATATTGATAACAATACCGGCTGGAAAAACACTATTAAAACACAAAAAAATCAATATTTTCTCTCTTCTTACAAACTGGTCGCATAAAACGGACCGCCACCAAGGGACTGAGATACCCCTCCGAGTTCAAAAACGGGAAATAATACCCCGGGAATCCCTGAATAGGGGGGTAGAACTGGATCGGTCCTAGGTATTCCACATCGGCGGGATTTTCACCCTCGCAAGACACCCAAATGTTCCACCGCTGCAACAAATGTATTACTAGTTGCATAACTAAACACTATATAAGTCAAAATTTTGTCATACCCAATAATTTTATTTAAATTGAATTAAAAACCGGAAACGCCAACTTATTTTATCAAAATTACTACGAATGAGTTGGCTAGTGGTGCCAACGTAAACGTTGATTTTACTAAACAGGGTCAAAAATGACAATTTACCTATAAAAGTTTGACGTTTGAATTTGAAAGTCAAGGTTGCCAAACTAAAATTTTAAATTTGACACCAACTTGAGGTACAAAATCACCCGGTACTTTTTCTAACTGAAAAAAAAAAACACAAAACTCACCAAATTTGGCGAAGAATGGTGTTCTTTGCCTTTTCGACTGTTTAAATATATTTTTGAGACTAAACCAAAAAAAATTTTAAAAATTATATACAGGTGCGCCAGAACTCGCGCCCCAGAAAAAATTTTCAAATAAGGTAAGATACCAGGAACATGAAAAAAATGTTTAAAAAATTCTATCTGTCAAAAAATTTTGAACATTTATTTTTGGACATTTGAAATTTTTTTATGTATATTTAATAATACTGATGATCTTGTATATGTTTTTTTACAATTATTTAGGAAAGGTACAAAAATTTTGCCAATAAAAGCCACAAATAATATTGAACAGAATTACAATTTAGAATATAGCTTCCTTGTTTCCTCTTTTAATGGCCTATAGCAAAAAACTTTGAAAAATTATTTTTGCAACAGAAATAAATAGAGTCAAAGTGTATACTTTAAACTCTCATAACTTCGTAATTTTTATAGTTAAAATTTTTTTAACATTTTTTGCATGTTTCTGGTATCTTATCTTATATGGCATTTTTCCCTGAGGCGCGAGTTCTAGCGCACCTTGTATAAACAAACAAAAATTAAAAAATAAATCCAAATTGATATTATTTTTAGCTTGTTTAGCTAAAAATCACAAAAATAAATTGATATTGAATGTAATTTTGCTTAGTTATTTCACTCAATTTAACTAGTTTTTGAGGAGCAATATTAAATCAAAAATAAGTCGAGAAAACACAAAATTTGGTTGAAATACTTTTAGGTACGTTTTTGTTCTAAAATCTCAAGTTTTTTTGCAAAATTTCGTTAAAACAAACTAAAAAATCAACAAATTAAGTCGAAAATTATTCTTCTCAAACGTTTTAGCACGTTTTTCAGCTAGAAACGCAATTATTTTGCAAAAACAAGCTAAAAAAATCACAGAATTGGGCCTAAAATGATACCATTTTTGCCTTTCTTGACCGTTTAAGCAGATTTTTAAACTGAATCTTCCGTTTTTCGCGAGATTTTACCAGACCGAGTCAAAATTCATTAAATTGTTATAAAAAAGATTATAGTTAACTCTTAGGTTTTAACTAGTCAGTTTATGTAAAAAAAGTAAATTATTGGAAATATTCAAGTCATAATTTTGTGATCTGGTGAAAATAGGCGTAAATCTGGCAACGTTTTCAGCTCGGATCTGGTGAATTTTATTTTCTTAGGCTGGCGACAGTGTTTCCGTTTGAAAAAACTACTCACTTCTTCAGGTCTTGTGATATTTCTGATGTGCTCTTTCAACTGTCGGGGCATGTCCTCCGGAAGGTCATTCGGGTCATCGTAGTACTCGGGCACCCAACCATAAATCTTGTTCAATTTCAAAAATATACAGGGTGAGCTTCTGTAATAATTAAAATACTGGTCTCTACTGCAATCACCCCAGTCTTTGACGTCCACTTCGCACACTTCCGTTTCAGTGGGCCACTCTGTATACGAGCAAGTTTTCAAATAAGCGTTGCCTTTTGCGACTTTTCCAGGAGTGTAATATTCTGAAATTTTTTATTTAAATTTAATACAGAGCCGGGAAGGGGGTGATAATAGAGACGTACTGTCCAAAAACTCCATGATGTTGTCGAACCAATTCAAGTAGTTGATTTTGTTGGTGCCTTGGAGCCACACCAGGGTGCTCTCTTCGTTGTCTTTGGGCATGGGGCGGAACCCGAGCCCCGGATTGGTCCCAATCACGGAACCGTCTTGTTGCCACTTAGGGATGCGCGGGTCCAGCGTTTGGAGGAAGACCCACATGCAGATGGCCACGAGGGCCGCAAGCATGCCATAGAAAATCAAGTAGAAGAGCCCGATTTTGGCTGAAAAAGAGAAGAGGGGTTAAGGGTTTTGACCCCAAACATAACGACAAATCGATATTGGATGAGTAATTTAGCAAACATGGTGGAAATTTATGAGAAGTGAGTCATCACCAAGAAATTCACCTATTTCTACAGAGTGATTAAAAAATAAAGAAAGCAAGCCAGTAAAATTTTATGGAAATAACTCGAAATAACTATTTAGAATACAGGGTTGTCCCAGCGAGTTGAAAAAGTCCATTAGCGACCTTTAAATGGTAAAATTAAAAAAAATTATATAGGACATTGATAGATATACTAATGAGTTTGCTAGTGATGCCAACGTAAACGTTGACATTTCCGTTCAATGCTGCCAGGTCTAATATCTGGTGATTTTTTTGGAAATTAAATAAACAGGTAACTGCAGTTACAACAAAAACTGAATACACTAGTTTTTCTACTACTGGTATAGTAAATTAGGGCAAAAATAAGTGACACCATTTTTTTGTATTTTGCACGTCTTTCAGCCAGAAACTTGATTATTTCGACAATTTGAAAGTCAAGGTTGCCAGCCAAACTAAAATTTTAAATTTGACCCTCACTTGAGGTAAAAATCAGTCACCCGGTACTTTTTCTAACTGAAAAAAAAAACACAAAACTCCCCAAATTTGGCGAAAAATGTCTTTTCCGACTGTTTAAATATACTCGTATTTTTGAGACAAAACTAAAAAATTTTTGAAAAATTATATCAAACTAAAAAATTAAAGAAATAAATCGAAATTGATATTATTTTTAGCTTGTTTAGATAAAAATCACAAAAATAAATTGATATTGAATATAATTTTGTTTTGATATTTCGCTTAATTTAACTAGTTTTGGAGCAATATTAAGTGAAAAATAAGCCGAGAAAACACAAAATTTGGTCGCAATGCTTTTAAAAAATGCTGTAAAATTTTATGGAAATAACGCGAAATAACTATGTAGAATACAGGGTGTCCCAGAGAGTTGAAAAAGTCCATTAGTGACCTTTAAATGGTAAAATTAAAAAGAAAATAATATAGGGCATTGATAGATACTAATCTAGTCCATCGCCCAAAATATTTTCAATTATTCAGCGTGTCTCAAAAATAAGTTACAACACAAACTTGCGTTTTTTTTAAATGAAAAACCATTCTTAGCGTTTTTGGATGTAGATTTTTATGACAATGTTTTTAAACTAAACTTTTATAGGTCGATTTTGTTTAGTTTTAAAAATAAGACGGTTTTTTTGACTAAAACAGGCACTTTTTAAAAATTTATTACACAAAAACTAAAACATGTAGAAATATTTTTTTTACTACTGCAAAGAAGAAGGTACAAGCTATAAGGTTGTAACATTTTTTTAGTGTGTTGCATTTGCAAACATAAAAAAATTAAGGCTTTTGCTAAAAGTTTGATAACTTAAAAAATTTAAATGGAACAGCCTATTTATTGTTTTTACATTTAAAAGATTATTAAATTGTCTTTCTGAAATTATTTACTTTTAGGTGTTTATAATCAATAACTAAAAAGATATTTAACATTAAACATTAAAAAAAAATAATTACTAAATTACTATTGTTTCCGTAGACAAAAAGTGCACAGTTGCACAAGAGATGGAAGAATTATCACTTAAAAATCACTTTTGGGTTAAACTGAATCCATTATTTTTTATTTTTACAGTAAAATCAACCGATAAGTGATCCGTGGTGAAATTACTATGGTTGCTATATTACCAACAATGCTCAGATATTAATAATCATTATTGCTACAATTAATATTGAATATTAAATATCTTTTCATTTATCAATTCTAGACATTAAAAGTTTATTTTTTTAGATAGACAATTTATCAATCTATTATATGCAAAAATAAAAAATAGGGTGTTCCATTTTTTTTAAGTTATTTCACTTTTAACAAACTTCTTAATTTATTAATCTTTACAAATGCAAAATCCTAAAAGCTCTAAATTCTGTACTTTCTTCTTTGTAGAAGTGAGAAAAAATTTGTTCTAGCTGTCTTAGTTTTTGTATAATAAAATTTTAAAAAGTGCATGTTTTCGTCAAAAAAACGTCTTTTTCTAAAACGAAGTGTAAATCCAAAAATGTTAAAAAACATATGGTGTTTCATTTAAAAAAACACAAGTTTGTATTGTAACGTATTTTTGAGACACGCTGTATAGTTGCAAATATTTTAGGCGATAGACTAGATTAGTATTTATCAATGTCCTATTTTCTTTTTATTTTACCATTTATAGGTCACTAATGGACTTTTTCAACTCGCTGGGACACCATGTATTTTGAAATACTTTTTTTATATCACCCAAATATTTAGTAAAATATTTTTTTTCCGAAATCATCAAAGAACAAAATTAATTTTTTAAGTATTGATCAATAAATGACACTATTTTTTGTATTTTTTAAGCATTTTGTATGTTTTTTAGCCAGAAACTCATAATTTTGCCAAATTTTCTCAAAAATAAGTCAAAAAGGAAGTAGTTTTTTTTTTAATAAGATTTCACTTAACAGGGTCAAAAAATCGATAAACCAGGTCGCAAAGTTTATTATTTTCATCTTTTTGGATCATTTAGTACTCTTTCAGACAGAAACAAAACTATCTTGCAAAACTTCCTTAAAAACAAACCAAAAATTTACCAAATTAGACCAAAACTAGTGTGGTTTTCACATTTTTTTAGAGTGTTTAAGCACGTAAAATACAAGTTTTGTTAAAACTGACTCAAAAATTTCTAAATTAGATTGAAATTGATATGTATTATTTTTAGTTTATTTCACTCGATTGAGTTTTTTAAACCAGACTCATTTATTTTTCTGCAAAATCTTGTCAAAGCGTACCTAAAAATTACAAAAAATAAATCGAAATTGATGCTATTTCGTTTGTTATTCGATTTAGCTTTTTCATGGACTTTTTCAACTTGCTGGAACACAATTTTCGCAATATTGAGAAAACACGCTGTATATTGCATTTTATGTACTTCGCACACTTATCAGTTATCGTATCACACTCTAAAAATTCAAATTTTGATTGCATTTTTTAACAAAAAAATGCTGATTCTAAACGGAATTTGATTCTGTTAGTGTTCAAAAATGGGAAAAAATTGAGTTAACTTGTTCAATTAGCGCACCCAGGGATGGGTCTTGGGGTCAAGCGCGCACCGTCTCCAACGGAAACCCATGTAAACAAACGTACCCCAACTCTTGGGCGTTCTTCCTAAACACGTCCCTGTTTCTTTATTGTAAAACTTTGTTTTATAAAAGCCGAAGGAAGATCGCGGATATTGTTTACTCGAAGTCATTGTGAAAAAATTTAATCACACACAGCGAAAACCGCACGTAAATAACAGAAAACGAAGCCAAACAACAACGTCACACCACACCTTCTTCGCACGCTAACTACCTCTACCATGAGTGACCCACGACGAGTCATACCAGCAGGTGAGGTAGGCGAGGCTTTGAAATTACCAACATTTTGCGGTATTCCAGCAACCCGAATGGGGAAGTGCGACGTTGGTTGCTCGTTTGTTTGTATTGCAGGAGTTGGGTTTATTTCAAACGAACGCAGACGCAAAAATACAATTTGAACGAGATTTGAACAAAGAAACAACTTATTTATGAAGGGGTTGCCAACAACTGGTTTCTATTCAAAAAGTTACACACGGAAATGGTACTAATTTTGGGATTTTTGGCGCTATTTCCAGCTTGTTTCGGTCAGTTGGGATTATTTTTTTTTAATTTTTATTTAAGAGATTTGAAAAAATTGAAGAAATCGCATAATAAAGCTATAAATGTGCTTATTTTTAGTCCAAGAAAATTTGTTTGTTAACGACATTATTGCTTTATTTTAAATGTTGGTTAATTTTTCAGCAAACTTCCTCTAAGATATTATTAGTTGTGTTAGCGTCATTTGTTTATATAGTAGATCACGAGTTGAGGACAAATTTAAATTCAACAATTGACAAAAATGATGAAAAATCAAAATTTTATAAAAAAAACTTCTCATGTAGTAATTTTCTTATAAGGTAATACACAAAGTAATCTTTCCACCATGTTCCTAATTATTAATAACATCTGTCCAACAGACCTGATGATGAAATAATAAAATTTCGAAACGTCGGCTATTTAAGGAAAAGTAGTTTATTTGTCCTCAACTCGTGATCCATTATATATTCCTCTAAGATATTTCATTAAAAACAGGGAAATGATAGAAAATTTAGCTCCAAAAGTGTTATTTTGGTTTGTTTCGTAGATTTCGCACTATTTTTTATGTTTTAATATTAGGCACATAAGATTTTAATTGCAAAAAAATGTAAAGTCAAGGTTTTTCGTTATTGTATTTAAAATTATTTCGAAAATTATTAGAGCTTCCAAAATCTATTTATAAAAAAAATCCTTTTATATTTAAATAA